AGTTCAATTTATATCCTACTTAAAACTAACAACAATCTCTAGTGGAATTTTGTCTGTTCCTTCTAACATTGAAAGGGATATCTCATGTTCTGTCCTTGTCTGTTTACCTGCAGATGGCAAGCTTGGCAAATTACTTTGGCCTGGGGAAGCAAAGGCACAGGTTGGTATCATGCCAATCCTGGTGATATCAGGACATCTCAATTTTAATCACTTCCTTTCAATGTCTACTTTTCATTTACACCTTTTCCCTTTTTTTAATATCAAACAAATATTCACCCTTTGAACCACATCAGTTTGTTGAAATTGGCTTGTAATCCTTTTAGCTTGTATTTGGTTACCCATTTTAGTTGGTGCATCTTGTGTAACATAACACAAGATGCGCCAACTATAAGTGTAGACCTAGCTATACGATGAATTCGATTGGAGAATGTTGTCCTTCACAATTTTAAGTAAGCATCCATCTGTTCGAGGATGTCCAAAGCCATCCCTTCTAGGTTTGGGGATTCTCTCATCTGGATGGATTATTATCCAAAATATGACACAGCCTATGATGGTTCTTTCCTTTAGATAGATCATGCTGAATAGATGCCATAATTCTGTGGTGCATCAATATAACTCTGCTACCTGTTTGGATCAGCTATGGCTAATTATTAGCAAGGGCTAAAAATTAGCCATCTAACTATTAGCTCATGCATGTTTGGATCCCAGGCTAAAAGGTGCACATATCCCTAGCAATGAACTATTAGCCCTTGTTAGCTAGTTGTACTTTGGCTAATGAACTAACAGCTAGCCAAGGGCTTGGCTAAAAATTAGCCCACCCATTAGCACTCCTGTTTGGATGGACTAGAGCTTTTTTTAGTTGCTAGCTGTTGCCCATGGGATCAAACAGGTCCAACATGTCAAATCTCACCCGAAAAATTGCCTACCTGACATGAATGTCTTCTGATAAAAATATTATTCAATAAATTCCAATTTCTGCAAAAACAAATCCAATGATTGTTGATAGGATATTAGTTAAAACTTACATGTTGAGGTTTCCCTTGCTTGTTTGATTTTATTTTGGCCTGCACAAAGCTGGACTGAATGATCTCCCACTAAATTTGTTGGTAATTTATCTACAGGAGTCTTGATGATGTTAGAATGAACCTTGAAGTTCTCAAATACTGTGCTACAGTTCTGTTCCTGGTATGTTTTCGTTAACATATTTTCCCCATGCCTGACTAATTTCATCAACTAGGCAGTCCCAGCCATATAAATCTGTGTTTTTAAAGCACTGATGAAATTTTCTCCCCTACTGGCCTCCCATGTATTGAGGCATCTGAAGTGGGAAAAACTCAGTTCCTCAATCAATAATTGAAGTTTAGCTATTGGAATGTAGGTCTTATGTTAAAGATTTTTATTATGATACCATACATGTTGTAGCTCAGTTCTGATGTTGCAGTTGTCGGTTTTGCTCAAATAATTTGCAATCTTGCAAGAAATTTATATAACTGATACCATAACTCACATTCCATCGCACCTTGAATTACTATAGAAACAGTAGCCCTTGCAAAAAGTGAGCCATATTAATGGTGCTGTGGTAATAATTTGAAAACTCCTACTTCATATGGAAATTTGTACATCAGTTCTGATTCTTGCAGTTGTGAGTTTTCCACAAGTAATTTGAATTCAACCAGGAATTTACCACAACTCATGTCCAATTTTACAACTTGAATTACTGCATAAATAATACCCCTACAAAGAAATGGAATCAGCATGTTGCTGCCATATATTTGTAGAGTTAATTGTTTGTTAAATGTTGAAGTTGATCTATTAGCTAAACCCCAAAGTTATTCTGACAGGAGGCAAGTCTTCCAGAGGTGCTCACTGTTGAAAATCTGGTTGAAGGTGCAACAAGGAGCCGAGCTAATGGTACTGCATCCCCTGATTTGCCAAAACCTGAAGCAAAGTCTCCACCGGATTCATCAAAAAGGCAACGGACAGTTTCTCCAGTTGAGTGTGTGATGCCTGAGGAAGGTAATCAAAGAACAAGTGATCCTTCTACCAACAGGGAATCTGTTGAGTTGGTATCCCACATTGAGGAGATGAAGCTAGATACCACCACGCATATGGATGCAAGTTCTAGTGGTTATTCTGGATTTCTTGAGCCAGATGATGTTTCCATTGAATGTATTGAAATCTCAGTTGCTCCATTACACCAATGGTCATCTATCCAGCACAGAGATTGCCCACTACAGCTTTGTTGTGCAGGCTTGAAAGTACAGTTTGGTGTCAGTACAAAGTTTCTTGATAACGCAGGGCGGCCAAAGATGAGCATAGTGGTTGAGATCCCTGAGAGTCTCAGTAAAGTTTTGGAATTCTGCGATGATCTTGCTAGGAAGTTATCCCAGGAATCTGGTAGCAGTTCTGAATGGAGACCCCTGATTAAGAAGTATGGATACGTTAATCGTCCGACTGTCCGCCTTAAGTGAGTTCTACTCTTTTCTTTGAATAATATTCTTTCCTTCCATTTTCTACCTTGGTCTCGTCATGATGTTTTCCTGAGCTCTAAGGATGGCCTTTCCGTGCAGCATCCCTACTATTGCAAACAGCGATGCTACGGCCTACTCAACTGATATATGCCAGAAAGAGCCTAGTGGCAGCATCCAGGAACTTGATTTCAGCAATGTAGCCACCACAGAATTGGACTCCCTGTTTGTTAAAGGGTGCAAGGTGGACGCATTCTTCTCACCGGAGCTATACGATTACCAGCAAAATGCTGGCATTCGGCTGGTTGCAAAGAGGCTGGTTGTACACTCGAATTAGTACCTGGCTCATTTATTATAATTCTAGTGCTAGAAACTAACCCTTGCACTGATTTAGGGGCCTTTAGGCCACCTTATGCCTTTAACCAACTGTAGTTTGTAGATTATGCTGTGAATACGTGTAAGATACTAAGATCTGGCCACAAGCGGATATTGATGTTAAATTAGAATTCAAATGTTGCAAAATGTTTTAACAATCTGTGCTATTCATTTGTGAATAGAATGCCCATTTGTTACTCTTTCTTCTCACTACTATATTCTTATTTGTGCATTCCCTATACTGTACATCATGTGCACTATTCTGCTGGATTTTCATAGCTTGGTTTCTACCGGGAACATTTTCGTATCTTTGTCATCGACACTTCATCATCATAAAACAAAATCGGTAATACTTATGTAATGGAGAGTAATTGGCGACATAGTAGCATTAGGGCACATCGCAAGCTTCCATGGACAAAATGTCCTTTAGATTATAATTTTAACAGGTAACTTCAGAGCGAACTCTGGAGCGCGAGATTTTCATCTGGCCTGACCAGTTGCACTTCAATCAATAAGCTGCTGCACCATGCACCTGTATATATAAAATAAAAATGAAGACAAATCTTACAGCTTACACATATACATACACGATTTGTGTTTATTATCAATGGTACTTACAGTAATCATGCACGTGAATAATCAACGTAGTGTTGACAGAAAAAAGGGTTCTGCATGCTTCTTGTTGTTGTGATTGCATAAAATTACTTGTATTTGGTTCTCTCTCTCTCTCCCTCAAGCTTATTCTTAGGGTTTGGTCTCGATCTACAATTTGGTGGTGCTCCAAGGACAAGGAAGTGCCTCTGCACCTTCATCTACCTATTGGGAAGTGGGGTAATTAGCATATCTGAAATTGAAGTTCATTTTACTTTGATTTCGTAGCCTTCTATAGGTGTTGGAACTTCCAACAGTCTGCGTCGGAACTTCCAACAGGCATCGGAAGTTTTGGCCCAAACTTCGGAACCTCCGACAGTTACTAATTTGTTGTTTTCAAGTTTGCATTGAATTTGCTACACTGCATCTGCTGAGTTTGACTACACCAACAAGGCTCGGTTAGACCCGAGTAACAGCGCCACTAGTGGCCTTGATGCCGGTCTCACTTAAGGGTACAATTTCCTAACTATTCTATATTGGTTTATTCTATTCATTCCAGTACTACTTTCCACTACATATGCTAGTTTAAGAGAAATAGCATGCTTATCGAATCGTGCATGTCATGATTTATATTCGGAACATAATCTATCAAATGCCTAATTTTCCAACACATAATTCATCTCAATTTTACATATGCAGCAACAAACAACAGAGCATGGATCTATATATATAGCCAGGATTCATAGTCCTATGATATATTTCACATACATGAGAAATAGAAACGGAAACACTACTACATGGTCACCGACACATCATCATCATGATTAAAAAAAACCCCGAATACTTCGATGTATTGGAGAGTCACGGGCGACACAGTAGCATTAGGGCACATCGCAAGCATCCATGGACAAAATGTCCTTTAAATTATAAATTTAGCAGGTACTTTAGAGCAAACTCTCAAGCGGGAGATTTATTTTGATCTGGCCTGACCAGTTGCACTTCAATAAACTGCTGCACCATGCACCTGTATATATATAAGGCAAATCATAAAATGAAGGCACAATCATATATATATATATATATACACACACACACATATATATATATACACACACGCGATACACGGTTTGTGTTTATTATCCATGGTCCTTTAGTAATCATATGTATGGTCGATTTCAAATACTTTGGAATACTGGAACAGCTGTGTAGTACATGGCATTGTGAGATGACTAGTTTGCACCTAAATTAAGTTTGTAACCTACTACATGCTCATGCACATATGTAGGCTGCTACTTTCTAGTACTATTGGAGTAGCTGGTTGCTGGTAGAGGTCAATTGTAAAGCAAAAATGTGTACTCAACAACTCAAATATTCTCTCTCTTTTTATTGTTCTTCTGCTTAACTATATTGGTTAAACAAAAAGTTTAGAAGCGGTTTACAAGAGGTAAATGAAAAAAAATAAGGAAATAATTTATTTTTCATTATGTTTTAGCAAAGGGTTAAGGACACTTATTAGGAGTGAAATATGGGTATAACACTGTGCTTTATTTAGCGAGTTGTACTTACCTATGTTGATATTTCTGGAGTGTAGAATATATCAATATCAAGCTCTTTTACGACATCAGTGATGCTGCTCTCGGTACTTTGGACATCGTTGTACTTGATATTACCATGTGCATTAGTAAATGTTCCGGTGCCACCCATAATGGACCACTGACCACCCGAGGGTCTGGGAGGGAGAGTAATCCCTAACACTTCGAGTGTGGATCCTGCAAAACTATTTCATGCATACAAGTGCCATATAACAATTATATTAATAACTGTATGAACATAAAAACGAAGATGCATATTAGGGATAGAAACACCCCAAGAAAAAAAAGATTCCGATATTTCAGGTTTCTCGACATCCATTAGCACCCCTATTTACCATCCTCTAGCACATGTTGTACACACCGTTTTGTTGAAAAAAGGGCTTCAAATGGCTGGTCCATTCCTCATCGATTTATCAATTGGATGCTATTCCATCCATTCCAATATATAGGTTGTCTTGGCTTTTAAAATACATATGTATCAAGACATAATCTATATCTAGGTCCATAGGAAAGCTATATAATTAGAAAAGTTAAAATGACTTATAATTTGGGACGGATTGTTAGTAGTACATGGTTAAACTAGTGTCTTTTGGAGAACCTATCATAAGCATTGCAAATCACAACATACTAGTTAGAGCTACTCCCTCTGTTGAGACATGATAATCATATTTGACCAAAGGAGAAGTTAAACATAGTGAGTTTTGACCGCTAATCTTATAACATAGAGCCAATTGCTAAAAAAATCAATATCATCTTAGAGACGCTTTGAACAAATATCTATTGATGCAAGTTTTATGCTGTAACCTTGTAGATAACTTGACTAATTGTCGGTCAATATTTATAAAGTTTGACTTTTTCTCTGGTCAAGTATGATTATCATTTCTGATGGAGGAAGCAGTATCGTAAAGGCGTGCTTCGGAACGGGATATCCCTTAGGATTTAGTTCACCTTATAAGAACTATAGAGCAATCCTACATGTCTAAATTAAAATCCCCCATCGTGGTACATGAACGACTGTCCTATATATCATGCATCAATCTCTCTATAACTGAACATTGTGGGGCTGGTGGTAGACATCCGAATATATAAATGTCCTCCAAAAAAAAAAAGAAAATTGCTGCAATTTGCAAACATTATATTACTGGTCTAAGCATTGCATGTAATTTAAAGAAAACATACATCTTAATTACCTGCTGTCGTCCTGAAACACTATAATCTGAGAAGTGTACCAACTAGTGGCGGTTTGACCAGCCTGGAGATGGAAGCCTTGTGCGCGTGCAACAATCGTTTCATTCGGATTGGGTCCTATGGTTAGAAACCAGTCGTGAACATACATGGTGCCAAACCCAATAGGTTGGGATGAACCTATCGCACCTACTTCGTTAGGGTTTGAGACGTTTGGCCGAGCAGGAAGGCGGTGTAGGGCCTTGTTTAGATTGCAAATTTTTGCAACTTTGGACATCAGTGTACGTTTCGTTTGTATTTGACAAACTTTGTCCGATCATGGACTAACTAGGCTCAAAAGATCTGTCTCGTGATTTACAACCAAAGTGTAATTAGTTATTTTTTTTACCTACATTTAATGCTCTATGCATGCGTCCAAAAATTGATGTGATGGAGAGAGAGTGAAAAATTTGAATTTGGATGCAATCTAAACAAGGCCTGTACATTTTCATCTCGTTCTCTGGGGACACACGCATGGATCTAGACCTGTTTTTTCAGCGGGGCTAGCAATTGCCAGGACTATTGCTGGGCAGAGGAACAGAAAAAGCAAGGTGAGAGGGGGAGTAGCCATTGTAATAATAAGGGATATGATTGGTGGCCAACTATGGCGAGGCGCTGGCCAGAGGGGTAGGGCTCGTGATCTTTCTTCTTTGTGTGCTGTGAGATGTGAGATTAGAGGGGGCAGGAGGTGGTATTTATAGAGTACTCTTGGAGAGATGGAGTGCGTGGGAGAGGCAGCGAAATCATTTAGGCAAGAGCATATCTGATATTAGCTTGCCCCGTGACACACTCTATGTGAGTCTATGCACCATGATTAAAGCACACACAGACAACACAATACTTTGTCTGCATAGTCTGATACACTTTAAGTGTTTAGCTTGTGGAATCAATCTATTCTATATGAGCTGATGTATTATAAATCCATTTTTCAATTTTAGTGAAATGACTGCATTTCCTATACTAATACGAATTATTAACTTGTGAGGAATAATAAAGTGGTGATGAATCAATTCCATTCCACAAACCAAACAAAAATTTGAGAAATGAAATAATGAATTCTTTTTGTCTGCAGATTTCACACAGATAACCGATTCATAATTGTATTGTTTAATAACACTTGAACCTACCGATAGCACCTAACCCAATGCAACCCCAATTTTTTAGATGTTTTGTTCAGCCGTACATTTGGCACTATGTTAGAAGGGATGTGAGGAGTGCGCGACTAAATTTCCTTAAATAAAATGAGAAATATATAGGAGAATATTTAGACATGAAAGCTCAAAGCTAATAATAATAATAATAACATGAAAGCTCGTGTCCAGCAGCAGCAGCACACTTTACTACGATCACTTTTAATTTAATTTTTTTGAAACTTGCTATTTTCATATTGCATCCATATATGTACTCGTATAAAAGTTAAGATGAAAACTCAAACTAGAAAAATTCATATGAAAATAAAAAATTTCATATACATCTGCACTAGAAGACAAAAACCTAGGAATTTTATTTTGTGTAGTGCACATGCACCTAAAATTATCATTTTCATATAAACTTTTCTAGTTTGAGTTTGTATCTACTTTTTGCATATGAGTACATATATGAATGTAATGTGGGTTATCAAGTTTTTAAAAAATTTTAGTGACCTAAGTATTAGTTTTTAAAATGGCACCTAAGATATAGTTTGCACCATAATGCTTGAAGCCTTCACAATCAAGTAATTAATTTTTTTAGCAACGGAGCCCTTCTAGGACACATGTGGATGAATTTCGAGCCACCTTTACAGAGCACTCCATCGGGTCTCACTGACCTATCAACTTCTAGAAATACATTTTTAGAGGCAGCCGGGAATCCTAGCCACCATTTACTACTACAGAAAGGATCACCACCGGGAGTTTTACCGCCGGTTCATAGGCTAAGGGGCCACACAAGGTGGCTTACTGGCTGTGATGAACGTTTTTCACTGCCGATTCGTTGTGTAATCCGGCGGTGAACACAGTGCGGGTCTTCGCCGCCATATCATACACCGAAACGGCGGTGAAAACATTTAGCACCGCTGGTTATGCAGCCAATGCACGATGCCCATACAAATCGACGATGGTAAGAAGTTTCATCGCCGGTTTAAAGATGGAAGGCCGTAGTGCTTGTTAGCGCTGGTGGTGAAAATCGCTATCACCGCCGTTTCGTTTTATGATCCGGCAGTGGAAATCGCATTGGTTCCAACCAGCACATCGTCTGTCGAGCCAACGGTGATAAGAATTTTACCTATGATTTCTTTTTGTGGTGATTTTGTGTGTAAAATGATTTATTTCTCTAGTGAGCACAATATGTTACAGTGAGGTGACAGACTGACAGCTCTGATCACCATTCGACGATAGTTGATGCTCGTTGACTTGTCTCTATACATAATCATAAACTACGGTGATAGGCACGTCATGCATGGCGTATGGTATTATTTTTTTGTAGGTGGGAATATGTGTCGTCCACAATGTGGATTAAATCTGGGCCGTTCGTCTAGATTGAACCCTAAGGCTGTCCATCCGAATGCCACCATTTGTCAAAAAAAAAAAAAGCTCCATAGCCTCCCTCCCGCACACCCGACTAGTGCCATGCAAAAATCCACGTGAAGCCCGCCCGAGTGCCACCGGCGTCCTCTACGCCTCCTGCCAGGACACCTGGCACCGCCTACCGTAGTCTGCATCTCCGACCACCACCTTTCTCCAGCTACCAAAGCCATTTCCCTTGTAGTCATTCATGTTAAAGGACAACAACGCAGATGTGGTATAGTGTGAGTGATGCTCACATGTGTATATACATTATTTTTCCACTCAATATTGCTCACATTCTATTTGTTGCATGACACCACTTGCAGGTTCGTTTTCATGATTTGACATACACTACATGTAGCTTCCATGCAATTCTAACTCAAGTGGCGGAGAAGCTTGGGTACCGCTTGATCTTGGCATGTTCGTTTGTCTGAATTTTGGAGGAATCTGGATGGTTCGGAGGAATCTTTGGAGGAATTTGTGAGAGAAAAACACTGTTTCGGATGAAAAAAATAAGCGGATCAAGCCGGGTTTAAGGGCTTGTGAACAGAGCCACTTGGCTCCAGCCTGTTTATTCTATGGTAGATCATGTTCTCGTTCCTTTTAGGCAAGAGAGTGCACTAATTCATTCATTGATCTACATAAGTGATGTGCTCGACTACACAATAGGGGATGTTCGCTATATACACTGCCTCATTTTTGAGGTCAAAGAGATGGCTAAGGGTGAGGTGAAAGGGCCCGACTATGAGTAGTTGGGTGTGTTTAGTACTGATCAGATACTTTGGTTTGTTAATGAGCTAGTGATGTAAGAGACAAAGTAATGACTAGACCTTGGTCTGTAAGAACTTCATTATGTAGCTACCTATATATTAAGTTAATTTGTCCTTTGTAGTTGTATATATATATATGATGTATTGTACCATGTTAGAATTGTCTACAGTGTGTGAGAAATGAGAATTGTCGAGTGTGGAATTGGACCTAATGTGGCACTCAACAATTCAACGTCAGGTGTGCATTGATGCGGCAGTGGTGTCATGAGTATCACTATCGGTCGTGGCTTTAAACCGCAGTGGAACTCACCATATCACTGCCGGTTTAAGACCATGTCCAACAGTGATAGACATAAATATCACTGCCAATTTTGCTATGAATCAGCAGTGATGGGTACATATATCACTGCCGGGTCGGACACCTGGTACTCATAGACATACACGGTTTGTGTGTATTATCCATGGTCCTTTAGTAATATATAATCATGCATGATGCGAATAATCACGGTAGCAGCTAGTAGCTAATGGTCGTGTTCGATTATTTCAAATACTCTGGTACAGCTGTAGTACATGGATTGTGAAATGACTAGGTTGCACCTAACTTAAGTTTGTAACCTGCTACATGCACATATATATAGGCTGCTACTTTAGTACAGTACAGTTGGAGTTGCCCTTGCTGGTGGCACAAAAATTTTTTTATTTTTTTCATTTTGTGAGAATTCAGGTGAAGTGAAAAGTTTAGAAACGGGCAAGAGGTAACTAAAAAGAAGCAAAATAAGGAAATACTTGCATTTTTCATTATGTTTTAGCAAAGGTTTAAGGACACTTATTAGAAGTAAAGTAGTATAGGTATAACACTGCTTTATTTAGCTATACATACCGCTGTTGATGTTTCGGAGTGTACAATATATGAATATATCAAGCTCTCTTACGTTATCAGTGATGCAAGCTCTCTTATGTTATCAGTGATACTGGTCACGATACTTTGTACATCTTTGTACTTGATATTACCATGTGCATTAGTAAGAGCAACTCCAGTGGAGCCCCTAAACAAGCCCCTATTCCAATTTTAGGGGCTTCAGAAAAAAAAAACACTCCAATGGGGCTCCTACTTGGACTCCTATTTTAGGAGAACTCCCAAAATTTAGTTTCAGGTCCCCAGGAACCAGGGGCTCCTATTCCGCCCCCGACGCCCTCCCGCCGCCACCCCGCCGCCACGGCCGCCGCTCCTCTTCCTGCACGCGGCCGCATCCTTCTCCTCTCCACACGAGCACCGCGGAAGCTCCTCCCCACACCGACTCCTCCCGGCGGTCCGGTGAGACCCCGCAGATCCGGCAAGCTCTGCCCCGGAGCTCGCGGATCCGGCGAGGTCCTGGTCCGGCGAGCCTCCTCGTCCTCTTCTCCCGCCGGTTCTGCTCCTATGGACGGCAGCGCGTCAGGAGGATTCTCCGGAGGCGGGCTGCCTCCCCGTCCGTGTCTACCACACGACGTCGTGCTCTGTTCGTCGCGCCGCATTCCCGTCCTCCCACATCGTCTTCTCTCGACGCCAAGCCGCCTGGTCGCCAAGAACATCCTTCTCTTGGTGGCGGCAGTGGTGGCAGGATGCCTTCTCCCGCCGGCAGCGGCAGTAGGATGCCTTCTCCCGGCGGCGGCGGCAGTGGTGTCCGGATGCCTTCTCCCAGCTGCGGCGGCGTTGGTGCCGGCGTCGGCTTCTCTCGTCGGCTCCCCAACGACCCACCTCCACTCGGTCCTCGCGCGTTGAACTTCACAGAGCCTCACGCCACCACCTGGGACGCCTGCAGAATGACAACATCACCAGCAGAAGTGTACGAGGTCGTCGGCGATGACTTTAGCCCCAACCATTGGACGCCTGACTACTCGGTGAGTTTAGCCCCAAAGATTATGTTCTATATGCTCCAAAGATTAGTGTCTCAATGTGAATGCTATCTGACGCCAATGGGTCTGAATGCCATTTGAGTTCTGATGCTAATATTTTGTGTGAATGTGAAACTGAATTTTTGGTGCATGCACAACTGATGGACATGTGACCTCAATGTCTGCAATGACAGCTCCGAGTTGGGATAGATTTGGTGTTAGTTGGGGAGGGATTTTCTAGCTGAGCATCATTTGGTTGTTGGCATGCTCAATTCTTGTCATGAGCAGTTGTCATGCTGTGATTTTTTTATCAGTCATGAATACTAGCAGTCATAGTAGATGGCATTCAGTTGGATTGTTGACTATCTATTTGCCACTGTACTCATTTTCAGTTTCACTGAAAATTGACTGTCTCTTATTCTTTGCAGCAACCATGGGCTTCAAGTTCACAATATTTCACAAACATAATGACACAGGAAAAGGATGATGATTTGGAATTGGTGAATCAGCAGGCTGCCACTCCAAGTACCGGCGGGAAAGGAGCATCCAAGCGAGGCAGTAACTACACTAGTCTTGAAGATATCCAACTTTGCAAATCCTGGATTCATATCAGCAATGACCCTATCATAGGGAATGATCAGGCAGGAAAAACTTATTGGGAGAGGATTGCTAATGATTTCCACAAGAACAGGGACTTTGAGTCCGATAGGACTCCAAATTCACTCGAGCATCGCTTTGGAATCATACTAAAGGAGTGCATGAAATTCCAAGGCTACTACGAGGAGGTCGAGCGTCGTCATCCAAGTGGCGTCCCATACAAAGAACATGTATGTCATCTTGCACTTGGTTCATCCCATATGTTGTCGCTGCTATATATCTAATCACGCACTTGATCTTTGCTGCAGTTGCTGGAAGCCCATGAAAGGTATGCCAGAAAAGCGAAGGGCAAAAATGTCAATTCGAAGAATGCTGGCTCACGTTGAGGCATACTCAGAAGTTTGAATCAACACTTGAAGTCAGCAAGAGGCCGGCCAAGTCCAGAGAGCTCAACCTCTCCGTAGGAACTCAACAAGACTATGACTCAACTGCCCAAGGCCAAGAGAGCTCTTCAATTCCTTCGCTAAGACAACCCGACCTCGGGTAGAAAGCAAGCCAAAGAGAAGTGAAAAAATGAAGGAGAGGATGAGTACAAGGATATGATGCAAACCTTAGTGGTACTCAAGACCGAGGAATATAAGATGAAGAAAGAAAGGTGGGACAAGGATATGATGCTTCAGCAGCATAGGATTGAGGTGGAAGAGCGGAGTCTGCAGTGGGAGCAAGAACAGAAAGTTATGTTTTGTGATGTCACCACCATGGATGATGATCAAAGGGCATATGTGAAGGCAAAGAGAGCTCGGATTGTGAAGGAGATGAGCGGTAGTGTAAGCGAGACGGCTAGTGGTGAGAGTGGAGTGTAGGTTTTGTGAGAGTGGAGTGGTCATTTCTTAAGTTTATGTCTCAAGAAAATTAGCATCTTATTGCTCTTTGTTGTTATTGCTCTATGTTGAAAAGCTTGGTGTGTTCTTCAGTTCAATGAGGGTACTATGTGTAATATGAATTATGTAGTCTGCAAACTATGGCTGTGCCTTGGTCATTTGTGAAAGACCTTTTCCTTCAGTTTGAATTATGTGCCTTGCTCTCTGTCTTTGCTTGATAATCAGTGTACTGAATTTGAATGTGCTACATAATATATTACATTTCATTCCCAATAGTTCAGAGAAAGCTTGCCTAGCTTTAGGACTATTATACATTTTTACTTTCATTCACAAAAGTTCAAAAGCATGCCACTTCCATTAAATGTTGCTTCACTGCTACTAAAAACTGAACCAAAGTGTTACAGTATAAGTGGTAGAAAAAGTGCTTCACTGGTTGTTTATGCCACTGCACAACACATGACTTTTGTAGCAGCTGATGTCCTGCAGCAGTTGATGTCCTTCATTGAGACTGTACCCAAGAATCCAGAACATATAAGCAATTTGCTAACCACAACAGGAAGCCTCAATCGTAAATCAAAAGCATCAAAATCCCTGGTGTAATTAAACATTATTAATAGTTCAAATATGTAGAATAACAGCAGTAGTTAAATAATTACAACTGGAAAGCTCTTGCAAGTGAATAAGTTTACTGAGCTGCCAAACAGGCCCTATCCAATTTCTGCAACACAACTCTCATTCAGATGGCCATGCAAACCATGAATATAGGAAAAAGACACATACAGTCCTAACTATCTAGAACTATTAGTTCTAACTATCTAGAACTATGAATTGCCCACAAGTGCTCTACAAGGTCATCCCGAAGTCGCTCATGTGAAGACCTATCCTCAATCTCGTCGTGTATCTTCAGGAAGTCCTCTAGCACAAGCGGATTACGACGTTGGTAGTCCATAGGTTGCAACACAGGGACACCCTCCTGATGGTAGTTAAAATCATCTTCCTCATCTCGCTCATCCTCAATGATCATGTTGTGCAAGACTACACAAGCTTGCATTATATACCATAGATCTTCCTTGTCCCACATTCTTGCAGGACCCCGCACAATTGCAAAGCGAGCTTGGAGTACCCCAAACGCTCTTTCCACATCTTTCCTCGCTGCTTCTTGTGCCATTGTGAAGTGGATCTTCTTGTTGCTTTGTGGATGTTGAAAAGCTTTGACAAACGTTGCCCAGGCTGGGTATATCCCATCAGCAAGATAGTACCCCATTGTGTACTTGTTTCCATTGACCATGTATTCCACTTGTGGCGCCATCCCAGAAGTCAGACTCTAAAATGTGGAGAGCGGCGCAAAACGTTGATATCATTTAGAGAACCAGGAAGGCCGAAGAATGCATGCCATATCCATAAATCTTGTGATGCAACGGCCTCAAGGATCATGGTCGGCCCATCTTACTTCCCTTCGTATGCTCCTCTCCAACCTACTGGGCACTTGTACCATTTCCAATGCATGCAATCAATGGAACCAAGCATACCTGGGAACCCTCTTGCACTATTAATTGCCAACAGCCTGGCTGTGTCCTGGGCATTGAGGGCCCTCAAGTATTCTTCACCAAAGACATCGACGACAGCCTTCACAAAATGTTTCAGACACTCAATGATTGTGCTCTCTCCCATCCTAACATACTCATCCAAGAAGTCTGCTGAAATACCGTAGGCAAGCATCCGAACGGCGGCAACAATCTTCTGTATGGGAGAGGCGCCAAGAGTTCCGATGGCATCGGGCTTCCGATGGAAATAGTCATCATGAGACTCCACTGCATCCACTATCCGCAGAAAGAGAGACCTGGACATCCGAAACCTCCTTCTGAAATGTTTCTCAGTGTATACACACTGGTCCGCGAAGTAGTCCAGATAGATGCGATTGTGACCTTCAGAAATGTTCCGTGGCACTTTGTGGCGACCCGGCAATGATCCATGAAACTTTTTCTTGCACTTGTTTCTCCTCGAGCCCTCAAGAAGACCAGCAATGATGAAGAGGTCGTCATCATCAGATTCATCCTCTTCATCCCACCCTCGACGAGCTCTAGTTAGTTGCTAGAATTACCCAGAAGGGATAATAAACACAGAAGGTACATAACTAAAGGAAAGGATAAATAATAATGCTGGTAGTTACTAAAATAAATAGTTGATATAACCTTCGGATACGAAACCCTTTGAATTTTTCCACAAGGGACGAGCCAAATTTCAGTACTGGTAGCAACGAAATTACACAAGCTTCAAGTCAATCCCCGTGTTTATTACCCAAGACCATTAGTTAACTATCAAAAGGTTTTGATATCGAAACCCTTTGATAGTTTAATTTATAATTTGAACTACTAATATGTTTTTATGGCTTCAAATAGCTAATATGTCAAACAAAGACATTTTTCGCAAGTCGAACAATGACATTTTCTTCTATTTACCTTTTCATTCAAGTAGAGCTAAAAATTCAGGAATATAAGATAAGCATCCTCTGAAACTTCGAGGATCACATAGGGGAGAATGCGTCATAGATACTCTAAAGTCTAAACAAAAACACTCCATAGATTAGTGAACATGGCGGGACAAGAAGGATGCTTTCACTTAAGAGCATTATCTGCAGATATAATATTAATAGGACACATGTGCCCCCATCTACCACAGGCCATAGGACGGAGAAAAATAAGAAGAAAAATATCGATACACTTTTTATTTGATAAGGCATATCGATACACTTGAAGTGCCTACATTTATCTACAAAGGGATCCTACTCCTAAGTCCTAACACCACCCAGTAGCAATGAATTGCCACCCAAAAAAATCATGACATCTAAATCAAGCTAGAAGAAAATGTTTCTTTTCCTCATACACAAGGCTCACCAGATTGAAGAAAGCTAGAAGAAAATGAGGCAACAAATAAGTGCCTATAACTCATCCTACTAGAATTAGGGATACATATCCTAAATCAAGCATTCAAAAACCACATTTTACGAGAATCTGCAGAAATTTTGAAACTAAAAGCATGATGAAATCGATGTCAAAGAAAACCAAAGACAATGAAACATACCTACGACTCAATGGAGGTGGATAGCTGATGACAAAGGGCATTTGAAATCCTCTGCAGCTTCAAGGTTGTGCCAAATTGCTAATGAACCCACTATTCTAGGAACCTATTTTCATATCAACACTTGTTACATGTTCTTAGAAGCCAACCGCCCACCCCGCGCTTTTGAAACACCCACGATCTCGATACAATTGGCCAACAAGCACAATCAATACCAGCGTAGAAACAAGAATGCATCGACCAACAAGCACAATCAACACCCACAACAAAAAAGTAATACCTCATGGATAATGCATGGCGGCATGGGCATACTGAAATGGCAAGTATTGTAGGTGTCATACAAGCAAGCTAGCAGATTCAGAAACACCGCCATTTGCATGACAAGAACGCCATAAGCCCCTAAATATAGAGTTCTACAACAGCCAACAATATCAAGCAAATAGGCAATGAAGCTACTGAGCTAAGCTCGCACGAGCGGTATTGGGTAATCGTCGCCTTTGTTTGACTTCCACGATTAGGGGTGCCGTGGCATGAGAAGAAGCGCGGACTACGCTTCCGTGTCCCCCCTGCGACTAATAACGGCGGTAGCAGCCGAACCATTGGGGGTCGTCGTCCTCGCGAGCTAATCCAGATCTACTCGTCTAGGAAGAGGCGCGAATCATAGCTCCCGTAATCAAACGACGGTTTCTCGACAAACTCTGCTTACGTGTAGAAGGGATCCGAGAAGTATTTCGAGGAACCAAGAGGGTTAGAGGGTTACACAGGCACCGTGGGGCGGCGACGGCGTCGCGGATTCGAGCTTCTTTGGCGATTGGCGCGTCCCCTAGCTAGAGGTCGCTCTGCCGGCCGTGCCTAACCTAGCGCGCCGCCTGCCTGGAGGTCGCGGCGTGGCTGCGCACTGGGCAGCTTGAGGGGAACGATGGCGGCGTGGATGAATGCGTGGGGGGGGAGGGCGTGGGAGAGGCAGCGGTGGCTTGGGTGCGCACATGGGGAATGGAGGGGGCGTGATTGAGGGGATGGAGTGTGATTTGAGGGGAGGGAGGGAGCGGGGGCGGCGGGGACGTGGTATCGCAGGGGATCTGGAAGAGGGCGACCTAAAAAGAGTCAGATATAAAAATTATCTTACTTTTATTCTTTTTAGTTGTAGGAGATGCGTGATGCGAATAATCGCGGTAGCAGCTAGTAGCTAATGGTCGTGTTCGATTATTTCAAATACTCTGGTACAGCTGTAGTACATGGATTGTGAAATGACTAGGTTGCACCTAACTTAAGTTTGTAACCTGCTACATGCACATATATATAGGCTGCTACTTTAGTACAGTACAGTTGGAGTTGCCCCTTGCTGGTGGCACAAAAATTCTTTTATTTTTTTCATTTTTGTGAGAATTCAGGTGAAGTGAAAAGTTTAGAAACGGGCAAGAGGTAAC